GCTCTCTATCCATGGAAAATAGATTGATCTCAAAGACAGGAAGTGTAGAGACAGAGAAAGGGGAGTTGTTGAAAGAGTTCAGAGGTGGCAGCAACATCAAATGGAAGAGCTTCCCAGGAGAAAGAAAAGTTTCTTTGCATTTAAACCCTTTTCCTTTCTCTGGTTTATTGATGCATCTCAGTTTCTTAAGAAAATTAAGAAAAGTCAGCAGAGGGTGACTGAATTCCAGCTTCTTAGAGAAAACCATGGAATAATGCTAAATCTACCCCACCCTCTGTTTCTCCACTTTGTGTTCTTGCCCAAAACAACAGATTTAATTGACAAGGTAAAAAAAAAACAAAAAAACTAAGGGTTGCTTTGACATTTAAGTTTGTATCCTAGTTATTTACTTTTTCTAAATATTGGTTTGAAAAAGATAATTTTTAGTGTATGTTTTACCATAGGAAGTGGGGAGAGAGGAAAGGAAAAGAGATGGATATTTGATTAAGCAAAATTCAAGTGGCTAGGAGACCTCCATTCAGCTTGGCAATCAGCGGCTTGTGTGAGGGCTCAAAGCATCTTATAAATTATATTTGCAATATGCATTTTAAAGGTGGATTTTTAAAAAAGTTTTTCAGAAGAAGGAAACCAAATAGAACTAAGACCTTCTCTTACAATTAAAACCCTTTATCTCCAAGTAGCCTGGTCACTTTGTGCCCAGGGGTTTTTTTCCCCTTCCACCTATTTCTCCACTTATCTCTAGAATAAGGTGAAATTAAAGAGACCTCAAGAAGGTCATGGTCTGAGCTAGTCACACTGACTTTTGATGGGCAATATTAGTATTGTTGTTGTTGTTGTTAATGGTTTGTTACACTACTTCTTTTGTGCAAATCATTGTGACTTACATACTTTAACTTATTTATGCCCACTAGGAATCTCTCTGTTCCCCTGGGGTAAAGTGAAATTTTCAATCTTCAGAGATCATGGTATCCCATAATTCACATCTATAACTTTAATTTATGTTCCATAAAAAAAAAAATTGGGATTTAGAAAGTCATTCAAAGTCATTTGGAAAGTTTGTTTCAGTTTTTGGTTCATGGGTTCTTTCTCTTTCCATCTCTCTCTCTCTCTCTCTCTCTCTCTCTCTCTCTCTTCCTCTTCCTCTCTTCCCCCCTCCTTCTTCTTCCTCCTCCTCCCTCCCTCATTTTTCCCCTATTTTCTTCTCTTCCTACCTTCTCATCTATCTCTCCTGACCTTTCCATTTCTTAGGGCAATGGTCTCCAAAATAATATTAAAAATATAAACAATGCAAGAGCCTATTAGTTTGGGGAAAAAAATTGACAGCAGAGAAAGTGGACATTTACTAGCCAAATTCAACAAAAACCTTTGCATAACTGGTAGATGGAATTGAAAAATGAGCATCGTGATTTGGTAAGCACAGTCAATGAAGTATTTTCACCCACTTGTATCTACATATCTTGATGTATCTTTTCCAGTTATGACAGCCTTTAAATCAAATATCAAAATAAACTTTGATATAGAACCAGACTTTTAAACTGCTGTATCATAAAATTTCAAATCAAATTTCAAAAAAAATGAAGCATATTCAATCACATTACTCTCAGCAAAAATATAATTAATATTTTAGTGAGAACAAAAATATTTTGTACTCTTAAAATATTATTTTCAAAGTATTATTTCACTTTTATTTCATCCCTTAAAAATTCTCCTTTTGGTATGTCTTATAATGTACATAATTACTTGTACAGTATTACATACATATAATTTATAAGAAGAGACTAGATCTGTGATGCAGCCAGTACAGTGAACTCCTGGATGAGGAAAGTCCTACCAATGTGGGGCTATAATTTCTATGTAACCTAAAGTCTTAGAGAGTTACCCAGGGCACTAAGAGTTTATGGCTTGACAATGGTCATGTAACCAGTATATGTCAGAGGTGGGATGTAAATTCAGATCTTCACGGCTCCAAAGCCAACTCTCTGTCTACACGATGCTCTCATACACAATTAATTAATAAGTAAATACTAATATATTAGGAGTGCATGTTAAAAATTTTTATTGATAAAATCACTCAATAAAAAAAGTTTAGAGACTATTTTCCTAGGAGAAGGCATATGGAGACCCTAAAGTCTAAGCAGAATTGCTGTGCCCCTGCCCAAAATAGGGCTGTCTTGATGGAGAGCCTGGAATCATCCTGTAAATATGTATTTCTTTCTGGTGCTGTGACAGGCACACCCCTGGTGGTTGGGAGACTAGATTCCAGATCCATGATCCATCCAATCATGAAAGCCCAAGAGCTACTTTCCACATAAGGTGGAGAGCCAGTTCAGGTAGATGGGAATGTCTTGGGGAGCATCAGTGAGATTCCATGAAAGAGTACAAGAGTGTTGATCAAGAAATCTGTTTCTCTGACTGTGAGACCTTGGGTAAATCACTTGCTGCCTGTTTGTCTCAAATCTTCCTATATGTAAAACAAGTAAGGTGATGCATTCCCTTCTTCACAAAGATAATGTCAGAATAAGGGAGATATTCAGGAACATCATCTAAAAGTCCAACAAAAAAATGTACAATGTTGAGAAAAGTGTTGCAAGAATTTTAAGGGTCCTTACTAGCCACTGCATGAATAACCTAGCTATGTGACCCAGAGTTTGGGTAAGACCAAGTAAGTTATTTAGGTAGGCTTAGAAAGCAGTTTTGGGGGAGATCAGGTAGGACAAACAGACAGGAAAAAGTGGTTGGTTGTTTCTTTTTTTGTTTTGTTTTGGTGAGGTAATTGGGGTTAAGTGACTTGCCCAGGGTCACATAGCTAGCAAGTGTTATGTGCCTGAGGCCAGATTTTGTTATAAAGATGACCCCAGACTCAGTTCCAAAGGTTAGTGTCTCAAATACTTTTTATTAAAGAGGTTGAAGTGCGTCCTTTCGATTCTCTTGAGAATTGGGCACACCTCCTTTGAAGGGGAGAGTGTGCCAAGTACAGAAGCAAGAGCAAGCTTTATAGTTAGTAATTGCCTACAGGATTGGTCCTAATCCTTCTGGGTTACAATCTTCCTTATACGCCTTGTTTATATATTTTATATACGTGTGATCCCCACTTCTTAACATGCACTTTGTGCCTAGAATTGTGTTGTCACTCCCTCCCTGGACGGAGAAGTTAGCCTGTCTGTGATGATTTCTTATCTACTTATGTGGAAACTTAATTCTTATTTCTCACAATTTGAACTCAGATCCTCCTGACTCCATGCCCGGTGCTCTATCTACCGCACCACCTAGCTGCCCCTTGGTTGGTTGCTGAGGACCAAAATGACATCACTGTGCTACAGTCAAGTTACAGTCTGTCGGATTGGCTGATCAGACCAATATGTACACGGAAAGGCAGATCTTCAGTAAAACAAAAAGGATATGTAAACTATTACAAATGCCTTTAGCATATCCATTTACATCAGACCAAAGAAAACAGTATCTTCTTTATCAGTCAGTTAGTTAATTAACATTTGTTAAGCTCCTACTTTCTGACTTTAGATGGAATAAAAACAAGCAAGTGAGTTCCAGGAACGATTCAAAGTCTTGGGAGTTTTCCTGTGTAACATAAAGTGACTGGGGAAGGGAAGGAGACATTCAGAACGTGTGCATCATAACAGCAAATACAGCGCAGAATGGAGCTGGTTACGTTCTCCCAAAAGCCCACCTTCAACAATAGGAACACATTTTGTGCAATGGAATGTTAAACTCGTAAGTCCTGGCCCTGCCACTCACTTGCTGTGTGACTGTTGGAAAGCCCTTTCCCCTCTTTGGGTCTCAGTTTCCCCATGTGTAAAATGGCACAGTAATACCCATCTCGAGGGGCTGTTGGAAGGAAAGCGTTCTGTAAAAACTCAAAGGGCCACAGAGATGAGATACTATTATTGTTATTAGTATTATTTTGTAGTTGGGTGGCAACATCCACAAATCCTGGGGTGCCAGCTGGGAAACCCTTCTGGAAACACAACCCTATTAAACTCTTTATTTTCCCCTGGAGCTCTCCATGGTAAAGTTACCGCCCTTTGGGGGGCGGGGCTGAGTGTAGTGGTCCGACTCTCCAGCCTCTCTTGGAGGTCTCTATGGTCAAAGCAACTCTAGTATTCATGGTTAACGGTATGACTCTCTAGCCTTCTCCTTCGTTCTCTATGGCAAACGCCCAAGCTTTATTTGTAGTTCACAGTATGACTCTCTAGCCTTGCTTGGAGTTCTCTATGGTCACGGCTCTATGGTCATGGTTCAGGGTATGTTAACTCTCTAGCCTATCTTGGAGTTCTCTATAGGGAGCGCTTCTTCCTTATTTACAATGTGACTCTCTAGCCGCGCACTGATGCCAAAGCTTCCCCTTTCCCAGGAGCAGAGGTGACTCTCTAGCGGGCCTTTCTTGGAGCTCTCCATGGTGATGGCTCCATTTTTTTTTTAATGGTGCCCTAGCTTCCGGTGGGTGATGGTGTTGCCTCCAAGCGCTCTCTATGGTGGAGCGTTCTTAGGGGAAGGAAGAACTACTTCCTATCCTCCCGTAAGTGTCTCTCTAGCTTTTCTATTCTATGACTTGAAGGAGACTTTCCAGCTTCTTGAAGCTGTGTCTGTGTTAGAACCTCGTGTTGCACCACCGGTGACGGTAGGGCTGCCTTGGCACCAACAACGGGATAGTGGAGCTCTAGCCTTCTCCTCCTCACCCCCCCCCCCCCCCCCACCCCCAGCAACGTGGAGTCTCTCTAGCCATCTATAGCTTTCTCTATGGTGAGGCAACTCTATTTTGCAACTCTATTGTTCCTTTGTGGGCCGATGGTCCACCCTCCGGAGGCCCCCCGCCTCCCCGTGGTGGCGCTCTAGCTTTTCTTTATGGATCACGAAACACCTCTCTGGCCTCCCACGTTTCTCGCTAACTTTTCCCACGGAAGTGACGCAGGCGGGGGGAGGGCCGGCGCGGCGCCCCGGAAGCGCTAGTGGCAGGCGGCCTGCGGTTGAGGCGGACGGGCATCATGGCGGCGGCGGTGGTGGCCGAAGCGCCGGAGCCGTGGCCGGAGGTGGACCTGGTGGAGCGCGAGCAGCGTCGGGAGCTGCTGTTGACGGGCCCGGCGCTGGAGGAGCGCGTGCGGGCGGCGGGAGGGCGGCTGCCGCCGCGCGTGTTCTCGCTGCCGCTGCTGCACTCCCTGGAGGTGTGCGGCTGCGCGAGCCTGCGCGAGCCGGGCCCGGGGCTGGCGCGCGGCCTCCCGCGCCTGCGCAGCCTCGTGCTACGGGGCAACGCGCTCGGGCCCGCGCTCAGCCCGGAGCTGGGCCCGCTGCCCGCGCTGCGCGTGCTCGACCTGTCCGGGAACGCGCTGGAGGAGCTGCCGCCGGGCCGCGGCCTGGGCCCCGCCGAGCCCCCGGCGCTGCCGCAGCTGCAGAGCCTCAACCTGAGCGCCAACCGCCTGCGCGCGCTCCCGACCGAGCTGGCGCGCTGCGCGCCGCGGCTGCAGACCCTCAACGTGGCGCGCAACCGCCTGCGCGCGCTCCCGGCCGAGCTCTTCGCGCTGCAGCTGCTGAGCGAGCTGGCCGCGGCCGACAACGAGCTGCAGGAGCTCAGCCCGGCCGTGGCGGGGCTGCCCGCGCTCAAGGTGCCCGCCGACCCGCCTGCCGGGGGCAGCGAGGCATTGGGGGGGGGAGCTGCTGGGGAGACTGAGGCAGTGACGGACAGGGAGGTGCCTCCAGGGCTGCCGGAGCGGAGAGCTGCAAGGGACCTTGGGTGGCTAGGTGGAGGGCCCTGCCCAGGGAGTCCACTTGGACTTCACGGGTCCTGGGGCTCTGAGGCTCTGGGGCCCAGCCCGATCCTTCCTCCTGCCCAGTCTGCGCCCGTGTCACTGACCTTGGAGACTTGGGACGGTGAAGAGGCGTCCGGCCCCTTCCTCTCAAAGGGAGAGGAGCAGACGAGCGGCGGGGCTTCCTGGAAGCCACCCCCTGCTTTATAACTTCCATCCTACCTCCTTTTAGAAAGTAGATCCTTGAGGGGTCATCAGATCTAGAGCTGGAAGGACCCGTCAAAGGCTCCCAGGGTGTGCGGGGAGCTTGCCGGGAGTCCCTCCCCAGGGCTTTATTCGGCTTTATCTGAGGAGGGGCAGAATGGCATCAGATGAAAGGACGTGGAGTTGTAGGAAAGGAGGAGAGGCAGCAGAATCCCCGGGCCTGCTGCTCAGGAGTCCTTGGTTGCCAGACCTTTTGTTTGGTTCTTAATACCGTAAAAAGCACTGTCTAGAGGCTGAGGCCCTTTGTTATCGGCCTCCAAGGCCTCATTTCTTTTTCTGCAACACCAGGGAGTTGCACTAGATTCTTAACCATTTTTGCGCCAGCATCTGGTGAGGTCTATGGAACCCTTATCAAACTAATGTTTTTAAATATGTAAATAAAGTATACAGGGTGACAGAAGAAATTAATCGTTAATGAAATAATATTAAATTAATTGAAATAGTTATCAAAATATGAAAAAAAATTACAGATTCCAGTTTCCTGGACTTAGATGACCTTTAATGTCCCTGCCATCTCTAAATCTGAAATCCTGTGATCCTTTTTGCAGAGAATGCTTTGTTGTGAGGAAAAAAAAACAACCCGAAAACCATTGATCTAAGTCAACCCCTTCAGGGTAGTGACTGTTTTTGGCTTTTTGTTCCTAACACCAAGCACAGTGCCACACACAGTAGGCACATTAGTCTGACTTAGAGCCTCAGTGACATCTGGGGCGCTGAGGTTCAAAGTTTGCTGCTGGTCCTAAAGCTCGTGTGTATTAGGAGCTGAACTTAACCCAGTTCTTCCTGAGTGGCTGGCCCTCTGTTCACTCTTCTCCCTTCCCAGTCAACCAGTAAAACTGTTTCCTTCTACTCTTGAATAATTTGTGCCAGGTAGCCTATGCCTTACCATCCCCAACCCTGAATCTCTCCCGCCATCTGCCTTCTCTGCTCCTCCTCACAGCGCAGTAGACTTAATAGACTTGGAAGTCTCTAGCATTGTTGACTGGGTCCACTTCAAATGTGTCTCCTAATTTCAATTGGGCTCTTGCTTCATCGAGGCAATCCTTTGATTCTTTCTTGATCAGTTTTCTGTCTCTCTTTCCATATACTGCTCCAGATCTTTAGTACTATTCAAACCTCTCATCCTATCCTATCTTCCTTTCTGGAGACCTCTTATATTTTACCAGTAAAATCAAGACCATTTGCCATGAGCTCCCTCTTCTTTCCCCATGTCCTTATCAAGCAATCTCTTGACAGTGGTGCAGTGAATAAAGGTGGACCAGAAGTCAGGAAGACCTAAGTTCAAATTTGGCCTCAGATACTAGCTTTGTGACCCTGGGCAAGTCACTTAACTTCTATCTGCCTGTTTCCTTATCTGTACAATGGAGACAGTAATAGAATCTTCCTCACAGGATTTATATGAGGATAAAATGAGACGATTGTGAAGTTCTTTGCAAAACTTAAATTTTCTCTTACTCCCCCCCCCCATTAGTTGGGTCTGACACATGACCCCATTTGGGGTGGTCTTGGCAAAGATACTGGAGTGGTTTGCTGTTTCCTTCTCCAGCTCACTTTACAGATGAGGAAAGATAAGGCAGACTAGTGACATGGCCGGGATCACACAGCTACTAAATGTCTTGAGGCCATATTTGAACTCAGGTCTTTATGACTCCAGGCCTCAAGTCTTCTCTATCATTAAAAACCCTTCAGTAGGTCCTGTCATATCTCCCTTTCTCAGGCATACTCATTGACATCACTTTTTCTCACTCTCTTCTGTACTCTGCATTGTGGCTTCCAGCTTCGTCCTTCACCTGAAACTGCCCTCTGCAGAGTCACCAGTGACCAGCCTTGACTGCCCGATGGAATGGAGTGGCCTTTTCTTAGTCTTCACTTTCTTGACCTCGGCAGCATCTGGCAGACACATTCTTCGCTCGGGACTTTTGTGTTCATGCTCTCTCCAGGTTTTCTGCCTGGCTCACCTCTTTGCTCAGTCTCCTTCACTAGGTCATTCTCTGCAGCATGCCCCCTAACTGGGGGTGTTTTCTGAGTGTCTTATTTTTCTCCCACTTAGTATCTTCCTCATCTCCTATGAGATCAGTGATCTCCATTCAAGACTTGCAGGTCTGTTAATCCAGCCCCGTTTCCTCTTCTGAATTCCATGCTTGTATCACCAACCTCAAACTCAGTATGTCCAGAACAGCTCATTACCTCTTTTCAAGACCTACCCCTCCACTGAAATTGTGAGTAAAGTGTACCACCATCCTTCTAGTCAACCGTGTTCATAGGCTTGGTGGCATCCTCAGCTCTCATCCCCTTCACCGCACATGTCCAAGTAGTTGTCAGATCCTGTTTCACATCTCCCCAGGCCCTCATTCCTTCTCCCCAGTCCACAGATCTGCCAGAGGGCATTTCCTAAAGCAGAGGTCTGACCACATCTCCCTTCTACTCGATAACCTTCAGTGGCTCCCTAGTAACTTGAGGATCAAATAAACACTGTGTTGAGCATTTCAACCTCTCTGCAGCCTGGCCGCATCCTACCTTTCCAGCCTTATTACACATTGCTCCCGTGCGAGTACTAGTCTACCATCTAGCCAGGCTGGTCGGCTTGCTTCTCACATAGGAGCCTTCCATCTCCGTCACCATGCCTTTGCACGGGTTGAGCTCTCCCTCTTCGCTTCTGCCTCTTAAAGGAATCTCTGCCCAACCCCTAATGTTTTTCCTTACCAAGATTACCTTCCTTCTGGTGATGTATCTGTTAAATACCTATATGTGCGTGCTTGTCATTGCCCTGTTAGAAAGTAAGCTTCTCGAGGGCAGGGACTTTTTGTCTTTGTATCCTTAGAGTTTGGCACAGAACTTTGCACAGAGGTGCAAATGTTGATTGATTACTCCATGATGCCTCTCACCTTGTATAATGGGCAAACTGAGGCCCGTGGGTAGGGAACCACTAGCTGGAGAAGGCTGATGGCTCAGTGGGTAGAGGCTGGGCCTGGAGTCAGCAAGACTTGAGTTCAAATCTAGCCTCAGACATTTAACTAGAAGTGTATCCTTGGGCTGGGAAAGTCACTTAACCTCTGCTTCATTTTCTTCATCTGTAAAAATGGGGACAATAATAGCAGAATTGTTTGTCATTTATAAGGCACTTATTAACACAGAGCCTGGTGCATACTAAGGGCTTAATAAAAGCTTGTTTCCTTTCTTCCTGTATTAGTCACTACCTTACATGGAGTTCAAAGACCTGGCCCTCCCCCTGCAAGGTCACTGTGAGGCTTAGACAAGTCAGGCCTCTCTCTGCCTCTCCTGAGGGGCTGGGATGCCATGATTTCCGGATTCCTCTCACTGTTAGTGCTTTTCCATCCACATTAGTACCCTTTATTCTAACCCTTTGTTTCTTTCCCTAAGCTGGCTCTCCATAGTTATTTTCTCCAAACCCAGTGATCATGTTAGTGTGCTTTTTTTAAATCACCTTTTCATGGTTGTCACCCTCAGCAAGTCTGCTGACAGATGAAAAAGCAGAATTTTATTTAAAAATTCAAAAGAGTTTAGTTGTTGAGTTGTTTCAGTTGTATCTGACTATCCTTTGACTCCATTTGGGGTTTTCTTGGCAGAGATACTGGAGCAGTTTGCCATTTCCTTCTCCAGCTCGTTTTACAGATGAGGAGACTGAGGCAAACAGGGTGAAATGACTTGCCCAAAGTCACACAGCTGGGAAGCATCTGAGACCAGGTTTGAACTCAGGTCCTCCTGACTCCTGGCCTGGCACTCTTTCTATTGCAACACCAGCTGCCCAAAGGCATGTAAATAGCTAGTGTGGTCCAGTCAGTGTGTGCGTGTTTTAATCTAAGTTCTGCCATTTGCTTCTCAATGATTTGGTTGGGTAGGTCATTTTCACCTCTCTGTGCCTCAGTTTCTTAATCTGTAAAATGAGGGGAGGGTTGGACTATGAAAACAGAGGTCTCTTGCAGCTCCAGATCTGTGCTAATCAATGTTGAATTGACCTATCCCTACATAATCTATCTGGTGACTTAGCCTCAGCGTAAGTGAACTCTGTAGATGAAGGATGGAGCAACTGTATACAAACAAGATATAGACAGGATAAACAGAGGACAGTCAGCAGGGGGAAGGCTGAAGTTATAGAGGATTGGAGAGGGCTTCCTGTAGAAGGTGGGATTTAAATTGGGACTTACAGGAAGTGGAGGTGAGGAGGGAGAGTGTTCCAGGCGGAGGGGACAGAGAGAATGCCCAAAGTGGAGAGATAGAGTAGTGCCTAGTTAAAGGGACAGCCAGGAGGCCGGTGTTTCTGGTCAGGGAGTAAGGTGTGAGAAGTTTGGAAAGATGATGTTAGCAGGGAGGATCAGGTTATGAAGGGCTTTAAATGCCAAATTTCACTCCTGGAGGTGATAGGAAGCCAGTGGAGTTGATTGAGTAGAAAGTGACATGGTCAGACCTTTGCTTTTAGGTGGCTGATTGGAGGCTGGACTGGAGTGGGAGAGACTTAAGACAGACAGGACTCTTGGGGAGCACCCCCCCAGCAGCTATTGCTGTAGCCGTGAGATGATGAGGGCCTGTGCCAGGGTGGGGCCAGAGTCAGAGGAGAGAAGTGGGATTCAGTGACCTCTGGGTTCCCTTCCAACTCTAGGCTGTGATACCACAAGCTTAGGTCTTCTCTGATCTCCCATTAATCTCACTTGTTTTACTTCCTCAGACTTTGGATCTCGCTAATAACCAGTTAAGTGAAATTCCCGGGGAACTTGCTGACTGTCCAAAGCTCAAGGAGATCAATTTCAAAGGGAACAAATTGAAAGATAAACGCCTGGAGAAGATGGTGAACGGCTGCCAACCTAAGTCCATTCTGGAGTATCTTCGAGTTGGGGGACGGGGCAAAGGAAGGGGAAAGACTGATGGCTCCGAAAAAGAAGAAAGCAGGAAAAAAAAGAGGGAGCGAAAGCAGAAAAAGGAGAGCGGAGAGGGCGAGGAGGAGGAGGTAGAGGAAGTGAACAAGCTTCTCATCAGGATTCTGCATGTCTCTGAAAACCCCACTTCTATGACTGTCAAAGTAAACCCAGTGGTGAAGGACGTCCGTCCCTACATTGTGTGCGCTGTCGTCAAAGGCATGAACTTGAAGCCAGGAAATGCTCTGAAGCGATTCCTCTCGATGCAGGTTGTACCCTGGGAGTTAGGCCCCCCTTACTCCAAACTAGGTTAGAGCAGGGAGCTAAAAGCGGTGAAAACTCATATAGAAAAATGAGATCATGGGAACCAGTGGGTCTCAAATCCCCACTGGAGTCCAGTTGTAGGAAAGTGTTAATGGTCCCTCAAAAACTGGGAAGGCCCCTTTTGTTAGTAAAGTTGTCTTGGCTTTCCCCCACATGCAAAACCTATTCCTTTTCTTAAACTGATGAATTTAATGAATTTAAACATCCCCTGAAGTTTGGGGCATTTTTGTGGATTTTCAAACTTTCTGCTCCAAGCTAGTTTTAGTTGTAAATCCTCAGGGTGTGAGAGATTGTTAAATTGTTATTTTATTGTTAAATTGGCAGGATGTCAACCGGTCTGATTTCTCTTGTTCCTTTTGACCTGTCCTCCCCCAAAACTTAAAGCTACATCTTTGAGCATATGAAATATGTGGCTTTTGAAGGAATCTACCAGTCTTTCAACTAAAATCTTAACATGTTTTTACCAGACCTTTCCTCTAGGTGGCCAGAATCAGTTTTTGACACACTAGGTTGTGAATCTGTACATTTACCATGAATTTTTTCCCTTGGTTGGATTGGCAATGATGATAAAACAGGTTGTCGGAAACTTTGCTTTTGAGAGTATAAATATTTAGGGAAAGAACTGTTCTCTAACTCTTCCTCTAGGCCTATTTGCTTTAATTCAACTCATTGAGAATCCAGATACTGTCTTCTACTTTCGATAATAGTGATGTGGGTGAATGTGAACAAAGAAGACCTTTTTCTGTTAATTTTAATTAACTGATTTCAATAATGCCATGAAGTTTTTTTCTCGATAAGACAAGCCATTCATTGGTTGTAGAGAAGGGCTGTCCTAATGGAGGATGTCGGAAACTTAGGTTACCAGTGTCTGTTCACTGAGTTGTTGGCGTGGACCCCTTGGGTTTAGCGATCATTTTGCCCTTCGTTTTACTTTTAGAGTGACCTTAATGTCTTGATAATCCCTTTGAATTTATGTTTTAGACCAAACTCCATGAAGACATCTGTGAGAAAAGAACAGCAGCGACGATAGCAACTCATGACCTTAAGCTGATCAAAGGCCCTCTGGTCTATGGAGCACAATCTCCCCAAGAGCTAAAGGTGCGCGATTGCACGGTTGCTTCTCCTATGGGCATGCGATGTTTCCAGCCAAATGTTAGGGCGGGCTGTATTTGGAGGACAGAATAAGCCTGAGTGTCAAGAGCCTATGATTTTGTTGGTACGAAAATTCCCTCCTCTGATGCAGATCGCAACTAGTCTGTCACTTAAAGTTTAGAGTTGTCTGAGGCTTGATTCCAGACTGTACTCTATCCCTTCTACATTTCTAGTCCTTCACATATTCCCAGAAAAACCTAAATATTTTCATTTGTGAATCCTGCCACCGGGTGGGGGTGTGTGTGTGTGTGTGTGTGTGTGTGTGTGTGTGTGTGTGTGTGTG